AGTTTAAAATTTATCTTAATTTTCTTTCACAGAGTGTTTTGGAATTCTCCTTCCCCCCAATTATTAAGCAATCATTTGAAAAAAATACATCTTTCTTCCTTACTGGCTTGAAAATCTACTTTCTGCAGGTTGAAAATTGTGACATATAGTTTGTTTGTTTCTGAACTTTCATTAGTTTGACTGTGATTAAACATGCCATGTCTGCATTCATAACTGAACTTCAGTAATTCACTGCACTATGCAATAGTTCAAGTAATTTCTCTCTTTCGCCCATTTCTTCTTGGCTGGTCACATAAGGATGTCTTTGAGATGATAGAAGTAGTAACAACTTGGGTTACAGTGGCAATGATGGCAATACAGGACAAGGCCAGAGGAGTGGCCTTGAGGACTGTCACCCATAGAGCTTGGGGAATTTCAAAACTGACAGAAATGCCTGCTTATACATGACTTTAAGCCTTCTAGCATGACACTCTTAAAAATGGTGGAAACACTAACTTTATGATTGAGATTTTAGAAAAAAAAAACCATATTGTGACATATAGGGAGGTCCTCTGTGTGAAGAGCAGAAAAGGGACAGAGTAAGTATAAAACTCCAGTGATATAGTGGAATCTTCTAGCTTTGACTACAGGACAGAGACTGTAGTTGAAAGTTAAAGACATCAAGTGAAATGAAGCAGTGATTACATACTAAATAAAATTTACTGTAGCACCAACTCAATAAATGTATGATTTTCAAGAGGCAGCCCTTTCCATATTTTAAAGTCATATGACATATGCCACTAGGCTATAAACAGTGTTTGTAGTCAAGAGAGAGGCCCAGACTTAGGCAAGAAGAGAATAGATGACTTTTATATCAAGCTTGGGAGATTTAGGGGACAAAATGTTTTAAGTGATAATGTAGATGATACTGGCAGAAATCATTTGATGCAAATTGCCATTTAACCCTGGTTTTGCATGGAATGAAGGTTGGCAAATTGCTATAAGGGCCAAACGTGATTAGAAAGAGTAGAAAGAATTTTTGTAGGTGTTATACCATGGCCAGGCTTAATTCCAGAATCCAGTCTGTTAGGAGAGTAAGCAACTCCAGCATATTTCAGCTCTACTCACTTAAACCAATCTTTTTTTTTATTTGCCTACAAAACCCATAGATACTCTCACTTCATATTGTATATGCAACCTCTAAAATACTGTTTGAATTAAGTACAAAGAAAAGAAAGCAAAGAAACTCACAACAAGCTGACTCTCTTCACAGGTGAGCCATCTTGAAGAATGTGAGTTTGGATATCTGGTGTTACCCCTCATTTGCCATATGGTGTTATGAGCAAGGGGGAGACATTCCCCTTTGCCCCTTACCACCTGTGTCAGGTGAGAGAGCTGGCCCTGAGGTCATGAGTACCCGTTAACTGGTATGGAGGAGGGAGCAATGTCCTCCTTTCCCTTTCCCTTCCTGTGCCAGGCCAAAGAGTGGGTCCCTGTATCATGATAGTGAAGGAGCTGGTCCTGGTTCTCACCGACTGTAGCTCTTGGAAAAGCAGGCCCTGCACCCCACTTGGGCAGCACAGTAATGCTGACTCTGTCGATAGAGGGTGCCAGTAAGGTGAGCTGACCCTGAGAATATGAGCATGAGAAATCTGACCCGAGCCCTCATCTTCCATATGGTGGCTGGAGGAAGGAGAGACGCCCCTGCTGGTGAAGAGCTGACCCTGAGGTAACAAGAGTGAGAGAACTGGCCCTGCCTCTCACCAGTTGCACCACTTGGCAGAGTGGTCTCTGCATCTGATCTGGGCAACACAGTAAAGCTAGCTTTGGTGGTATAGGTGTGGGTGTGCCAACCCTGAGGGTGTGAAATCAGGAGAACCAACCTCACCCTTGCTGCTTGCTGCAGGGGTTTAGCTAGGCAGATGGTGCTGGAGATCTCACCCTGGTGTTGAGGATGAGGGTGAGCTGGCAGGCTAACCAATCCAGCCACCACCCAGGCCCAGAACCAGGGCTATATGAGTTGGTAATCCCAACATTGACTCCATCTACAGACTGGTCCTAAGGACCCAAAGTTGCAGGACCTCTATGATACAGGGCAACAGGAGGATATCCAAGAGGATTCCCAGTGAGGGTACAATATCAAGGATGGAGGCCTTGAACTAGGCCACTGACTTGGTATAGTGAACACTTGAAATTAAGACATATGGACAATAGGGTATACTGTGTGACTCACAATGTCACGCTACAGCTTCCACAATGAGAATTTTCTTTTCTTTTAGATTTTATTTTGTTTTATCTTGTGGGGGAGGTTCCAAGGGCACAGGATGATGTGAAAAGATGGGGAAATGAATGTGATTGAGATGCATGATGTGAAATCCACTAAGAATTGTGTTAGAATTTTGATGGGGATTGCATAGAATAATCTGTAGATTGCATTTGGTAATTTTGGAAAATGTGTTAATAAAAATTTTCCATTTTTATTATGTTGATCCTACCTATCCATGAGCATGAGGGATCTTTCTATTTTCTGATATCCTCTTCAATTTCTTTTTCCAAAATCTTAAAGTTCTTGTCATACTTGTATTTCATTTGTTTGGTTAGAGCTACCCCATCATATTTTATATTATTTGTGGCTATTGTCAAGGGTAATGTTTCTCTGATTTTTTTTCTCAGCCCATTTATCATTTGTATATAGGAAGGATACTGATTTTTCGATTTCATCTTTTATCCTGCCACATTACTGAAGGTGTTTATTAGCTGTAGGAGTTCCCTGGTAGAATTTTTTGGGGTCACTAATGCATACTATCACATCATCTGCAAATAGAGACAGTTTGACTTCTTCCTTTACAATTTGTATCCCCTTGATCCCCTTTTGTTGTCTTACTGCTGTAGCTAGAACTTGGAGTACTATATTGAATAGATATGGAGAAAGTGGACAGTTTTATCTTGTTTCTTATTTTGGTGGAATCACTTTGAGTTTCTCTCCAATTAGTTTGATGTTGGCTGTCAGCTGCTGTAAATTGTCTTTATTATGTTTAGGTATGTTTTTTGTACCTTTGATCCCTCCAAGACCGTTATCATGAAGGGGTGTTGAGTTTTTGTGGAAGAAAGGGAGAAAAGATTATATGAGTGGGGGTGTGTATGTCAAGAACATGACTGGAAAGCCATAGAGACAGCTGAGCGGATGGAGCTCATGGGAATTCACAGACTCTAGGCTGACAGCTGTACAGCCTTCATGGGAAATAACAGGACCCTCTGCATATGGATCACAGAGTGTAGCTTGGTCTGTCTGAGGGGACCCTGGAAGTGGGACCAGGATCTCTCCCTGGTACATGAACTGGCTTTTCAAACCCATTCCCTCTGATGGGATGCCTTGCTCTGCCTTGATGCAGGATGGAGGTGCTTGGTCCAGCCTTAACTTAATGTGCTAGACTTTGTTGGCTCCCCATGGGGAAGTCTTATCCTTTCTGAGGAGTGGATAGGGGGTTGGCTGGGCTTAGTGGGAAAGGAGAGAGGGGAGGGAGGGTTAACTGTTGTTGGTATGTAAAATGCATCTAAAAATAAATTAAAAAAATCTAGTCAAAGGCAAAAAAAATTCCACAAAGAAACAGTAAATGTTAAATTAGGAAAAGAAAACCAATGACAACAAATCTGCTTTAAACTGGATGTAGTGACACATGCCTGTAATCCCAGCACATGACACATGTCTGTAATCCAAACACATGACACATGCCTATAATCCCAGCACATGACACATGGTTATAATCCCAGCACATGACACATGCCTGTGACGCCAACACATGACACCTATCTGTAACCCCAACACATAACACATGTCTGTAATTCCAACACATGACATGACACATGCCTGCAATCCCAGCCCAGCAGCAGAGGATTGGCAAGAGTTTAAGACCAGTCTACCCTTCAGAGTGAAATTTTGTTTAAAAAAAAAACCAAAAAAACAAAAATGAAAACAAACAAAGACTGATTTTGAGGGTTAAAGATTAGTTTTCACAAGATTTCTCTTGTTTCCTTTGGCTTTGGGCATTTTTAACTTTAAACTTTGATCGTCAGAGCAGAATTGTGGAATTGGAAGCTTGTGCAGATCATTTAGTTAGTTTTTAAAGTTACATTTAACCAGCAAGTGAGTTCTGAAGAGGAAATGTTTGCGAGTGGGAAGCTGTGCAAAGCCCAGGAGTCATGTTTCTAAGCACTGCCCTTAAAGACTTTCCTTCACATTGTGGAGGCCACAAAGTTCCCATCGTCTACTGCAGTCATTCCTGAGCCACTTTCATATAGCACTCTCCCCCACCTTCCTTTAAGGTTCAGCAAAAATTTTAATGTGAAAAGATAAAAGTGGTTTCCCACCCTCTTCTGAGGATCAGATTTCCAAAAACAGCTGACACAGGCCTCTTTTGTAATCAAGTTTAATATAAAAGCACCAAGAGTATGCAAATAAAACACCAAGCTAAACTCCAGATGCAGAGAGGTAATGCACTGATGTCACGCCACCCTTAAGGTAAGACACTGCTCCTGCCTGCTGGCCATGTGCAGTGGTCACACCACAGGTACCTGTTTCTTCACGGTCTCACCGCCACTGTGGATGCATAGGCACTGGCAGCTTGCCAACCTCATTACTTTGGGTAGTGTCAGTTCAGACAAACACGCCCCACCCCCACACCTGCTCAGTGTCAGAAGGAAATGAAGCCGCAAGAAGAAGAACAAGGGCTTTACCCACTCTGCCTCCTGCCTGTTCTCGGCCTTCCCCTGCTCTAGTTGTCCCTCCTGGGCTTGGCTGCAGTGTGACATCCTCTCTGCCCCAGGGAGAAAGTGTGAAGAGTAACCACTGCGGACAAGTACTTGTCCACCTAGGGCTGTTCTGCCCCGGTTTGGCCCCCCCTTTGACATTCTGCCTGCTAGAGAGAGGAATTATGAGCAAAGAAAGCGACTGCAGACAATTGACATCCAGAAGCCACAAGTTTCTGTAAAAATCAGATCTGCACACCAACCAAGACAGAGCCATGGCGGTATCGCTGGAAGAATTTGTTCACTCCCTTGATCTAAGGACCCTTCCCAGGGTCTTAGAAATCCAGTCAGGCATCTACTTTGAAGGTAAGCATTTCTCTACTTTTTTAATTTGCTGGAAAGTTTTTTATAAGAGTCTCTTGGGAATTTGTGGGAGAGATTTTAATAAAGAATACACAAAGGGCTGTGTACGTGGCCTGGCATGGCAATTAGGTTCGAACCTCATTGTACCCACAAACACAAATCTTGAGTTTTCCAAAGGAAAGGTGAACACACACACACACACACACACACACACACACACACACAAATGTAACAAACTGTTGAATAGTGGAGACCCAGCAGCTGGTGAAGGAGGGAGAAACTAAGGCTCTAGTTGATGGTGATATCCAACAATGTGAACTGGGATCCTTTTTTTGATAAGAATTCAACAAGTCAACACACATAATGTGCTACTTCTGCCTACTTTTTGAACATTGTTGTGATTGGGTTAAAAAAGGGGGGAGCATAAAATGGCGTTTAAAATAGGTACAAAATGGGCCTTTGTCAATGTAGCAGGCAGTGGTGGCATAGGTCTTTAATTCCAGCACTTGAAAGGCAAACACAGGCCAGATGTCTGACTTCAAGGCTATCCTGGCCTACAGAAGAAATTTCAGGATGACCAGGGCTACACAAAGAAATACTGTCTCAACAAAGCAAACAAACAACAACAAAGATTTCGTTCCCTGTAATAATGCATGTTCTGCACCTGATTAGGACAGAACAGATTGAGCTATGATCAAGTGTTGGTTAGGTATATCCAAAAAGTGTCGTTGATACTTGTTTCTAGATTATTCAAAAAAAAAAACGCAAAAAGGAGAAAAGAACAGCTGAATTTGCTTTGATTCACCCAAAATGAATGTGACATCAAAGGCACAATCCTTACAAATGAGTACTTCCAAGTTCAGAAGGACTTCTAAGCTTGCCTTGCATTTATGCTCCTCTTTCTGTAGTGACCCCACTAAGCTACATAAATGGTGGCAAATTCTATGTAAAGATACAGAAATTAGCACCTATTGTCCACAAAATTCCTCTAAAACTCCGTGTTGAAGAGTTAAAGTTCACTGAAAATTATTGAAAACTAGGCTGGTGAATTTTGGTATAGCTTACTACTGTAAGGAAAATCCCCAATATGTTTTCTAGCATTTTAAAGTTAGTTTGATTACATATAAAGTACTGAAAAACATTTTCTAGGTGGATATATGTTTCTGCTTATAAGAACAGGAGAATTAAAGCAAAACAAAGAACTGGGTCTACTGAAAGTATTAGGAAATTAAAGAATGGTTGGCTTTCCCACTTACAACCTGTCCCTGACTTCCCATGGTTAGATTTCCACTTTTTTTTTTTTTTTTGCTTTGCAAGAAATGCACAGCCATTCTGGTTTTCTTTTTTTATTTTAAGTATAGTAGTCAATCAGTTACATGGGGCATTAAACACTTGGTTTTGAAATGGGCATTTTGTAGCAGGCAGAGGTTGAACATGTCTTTAATCCCAGCACTCTGGAGGCATAGGCAGGCAGATCTTTGAGTTCGAGGTCAGCCTGGTCTACAAAAAAAAAGTTCCAGTCCAGGGTTGCACAGAGAAACTCTGTCTAAAAGAACAAACAAACAGCAACAACAAAGGAATTGATTTCCTTCGCTGTTCTAATGCATGTTCTGTACATGATTGGGATAGAATAGATTGAGCTATGATCATGAGTTGGTTAATGTATGCAATGAATTTGGGAGTTTCCAGTGGGTTTATCAAGATGTATCCATATCACAAATTAGGAAGCAATTATTCAGTTTTACCATACCAAAAAAAAAGGTTGATACATGCACACCTTCCTACCTCCATACTCCCGAGTTTGTACTAGTTGCCCTCAGAGTTTACTTAAGTTTGTGAACTGATATTTGGAATTAGGCCATCTTTCATCACATCTACTCCCTTTCACATCAGAATTTACACTTCTAAGCTGTCCATCCATTGCTTCTCATCTCACGGTTAATGCTTTTAGGGCTTAACAGAAGAAGTCTTTCTGTATACCTACGAAGAATTGTTTTGTAACAGCTTCACAGTTTCAGATTTTATATTTGGTCCTTTGTTGATTTTCAGGATGCGTTGCTATGAGATGTAGAGGGATCCAATTTTACATTTTTTTTTTTACAAGTTAGGTCAGATTTCTCAGTACCATCAGATAATATACTCACATGTGCATCCTTTGTCTTGGAAATAAATACCTCTTCTGGTCTGTTAGTTGATGTTTTCATTATTTGTGCCCAATCATTTGATTTTTTTCTGAATGACAGGTGCATCTGATTCCCTTGTTTTTGCTCAATATTCTAAGGCTGACTTAGCTGTTCAGAGACTTAAAGTGCATTTAAAAAATAACAGCTACTTCTCTAGGAAATCTAACAAAGAGCTTTCTTAGATTCTCTTGGTTTTATATGTTAACTAAAAGAAACAGTAAGTTGTTTCACAAAAGAAACTTGATCCATTACTGTCTTCTTCCTTTATACTTTATTACTATGTTATCACTTAATTGAAATGAATGTCCACAGTTAAGTACATCCATGTAACAGTCACTCAAGAAATAGAAAAATAGTGCTCTAGAAGACACATCGTAAATACTTTTCAATTGTTATCTAGTTTCTTCCCTAAATTAACCAATACTCCATGACTTTTGTTTATTTATAAACTTCATGTAAATGGAAAATTATAGTATGTACTCTTTTGGCTGGCTTACATGTGTTGTAAAGTTAATCTATACTATTCTATACAATTTGTTTTGCTTTCCTTCCTTTTCTTTCTCTCTTTCTTTTTCTGTTTTTCATCTTTCTTACTTTTTTCTTCCTTCCTTCCTTTCTCTCTTCCTTTCCTTATTTCTCTCTTTCTTTTCTTATATCAGTACTGGGGACCAAAACTAAGGCCTTATGCATGCTACGCAAGTGCACTACCACTAGGCAATAGCCCCAACCCTCTTCTCACTTCTATTTTGCTACAGGGTCTTACTAAGTTCCATAAGCTGGCTTTGGACTCACTCTATAGCCCAGGCATGTCTTCAGGTAGTGACCCTCCTGCTTCAACCTACTGAGAACCTAGGTTTATAGGTGAAGACCATCAGTTCTAGTAGTGTATAATATAGTAGTGGATTAATAAACCAAAATTTACTTAGCCATTCTACTGCGGAAGGACATTTGGATTATTTCTACTTTAAAGTCACGGGTAGTGTATTATCATGAAATTCTCTTATACATTCATGTTCACAAGCATATTAAAAACAAGCAAAATGGCTATGTCTAATGGTGTGTATATTGTGCTTGATGGGTGGTGGAAGAAAAATTTCCTAAGCACTTGTTCAGTCTACATTTCCATTAGATGTCTCTGAAAGTTCCTATTAACACATTTGATGATATTTTCTGTCACTGGTTTTCTTGCTTTTAGTCTTTCTGGTAGGAACCCTGCAGGGAGCCCAGGTTTTACTTCACATCTGCCTTCTGTCTAATGAAATCCAGGACATATAGTCTTCTATCCCATGATGCTTGCAGATTCTCTTTAGGACACGGTTCCTGGGTCTGGCTCATTTATATTATGGTTTATAAATTTGTGCTAATGACTTGATTATATATATATATACACCCACACATATATATGTATATATATATACATATATATATATATACATATATATGATAATCAGTTTTCTGGTGTGAATATTTTTTCGCCTGTGAAGCTTACCATTTTCTTAGGAATACCTTTTCATGAGTGGAAGTTTTCAATTTTACTGTTAGAGTGATCAGTTTGCCATTACAATTTTATTCCATGCTGCTAAAGAAATTTTTATTTATCATGAATTATGAAAATACTATGTTAGCCTCTTGAAATTTAATTATTTAGTCTTTGCTTTGTATCTGTGGTCTGCCTGAAATCAATTGTTTTGTATATACGCTATGACATGAAGGCCAAGATCTAGAGAGAGCTAATGAGTACAATGATATTGACAGGAAAGAAAGTGAGACAGCATCTTACTATGTAACTCTGCTGGACAGGAATTTGCTGTTGGGCACCAGGCTGGCATTGAACTCACGGAGACCATCTGCTTTCCACGTGATAGCATTAGAGGGGTCCCACACCCTACCTGGTTGAAAAGCTCCCTTTGCTCATGCTGTATCGTGTCCCCTAGTCATAAACACCGTTGTTGTATTACGGAGTGGCGGGCTGTGTCCCGCCACCCGGCTAGCTTTACCCGAAATAATTACACGGAAACTGTATTCTTTTAAACACTGCCTGACCCATTAGTTTCAGTTTCTTATTGGCTAGCTCTTACATATTGATCTAACCCATTTCTATTAATCTGTGTAGCCCACGAGCTGGCTTACCAGGAAAGATCTTAACCTGCGTCTGTTTGGAGTGGGAGAACCATGGCGACTCCTTGAATCAGCTTCTTTCTCCCAGCATTCCGTTCTGTTTACTCCGCCTACCTAAGGGTTGGCCTATCAAATGGGTCTAGGCAGTTTCTTTATTAATAAGAAATCACTCCCACATCACACCGTGTTTCAGACCAGGATCTCCCATGGCTTCTCTGCTTCTCCAGACACAGTCACAGGGCTGTTCATTTTATGTTCCTATTAAGACAGATTATCAGTCTTAATGCATGCGGAACTGGAGCATTACTGCACGCTCATCCTACATGCTGTATGAGATTATGCTGCAGGGCTGTGGTTCTCTTGACTGCACGTTTGACATCTGACACGTTTTTAAGATTATCGATGTCTGCGTGTGTGCCTTACAAGTGCAGATTTAATTATGTAGGAGGTAAGGTGTCACTGTCCCGAGACATCTCCCTGATGACTCGAAAGCACAGCCAAACTGGAAGCGACTGCTGCGGAATAGGCTTTCCAATGTGTTCTTATTCTTCAAGTTGGGCTCTTTGAATGATCATATACATTTAAGAATTCACTCGTCAACCTCCGCAGAAGTCCTATCTGAATTCTGATGAGCAGTGTATCATTTAGAGAAGGATTAACATCTAGAAAATTAACGAGGCTATGATCTATAAAATTCTGCTC